AGCGACACCGGGACTGGGACACCGAGATAGGAACACCGGGACAGGGATATGGACCCCCTCCAGACCCTCTGTCCTCAGGGATCTCCATTCGGGATCCTCGTTCCAGCCCCTCCATCCTTTGGGATCCCCTCCCTCCCCCCTGACTCCCTCAGGGCACAGCCCCCCTTCCCCACTGATTCCTCAGTTCTCAGTAAAAATCATTAAAAAATGATATTAAAATCACTTTAGTAATTCTCACTGAAAATGATATTAAAATCACTTTTCTGAACTAATTCTCAGTAAAATTATTTAAAAATTGTATTTTTTTTTCTGCTAATTATCAGTGAAAATGATAAAGCAATGTCACATATTTGATTTTTGTGTCATTTCCGTTCCCACCAGGTTGGAATAGGCACCATTTGGATGCTCTGAAATGCCCTCCTACCAAGGAAGAGCAACAGGAGAGGTGGGTTTGGATCACAAATTCTGCATTTCTCACTCCTTACACCACAAATCAAAAGGAAAAAAAAAGAAATCTCCACAAAGCACTCACTACAGAGTACCCCAAAGTGCTGAGATTTCATTTTACTGCAGATTTTTCCCCGATTTCCTCCCGTGCTCCACCCAATTTTGGATGATTTCTTGAAAGCTCCGTGGAAATAAAAAGTCAAGGGGCTAAACTTGGTCGTTTTTATTCTGCAAAGCAATATGCACATCTTACAAACACAAAAATTAAATTTAGGAGAGAAATGGCATTTCCAAATCAGCTATGAACCGTCATGCAACAAGACAAGTGAAATGTCAGAACAAAACAAATAAAAAGAAAACAAAAAAAAAAGCCATTTTTAACCCCAACAATCACCTGCAGAGGGTTGAAACCGAGGCTCAGATTTTCTATGGAACGCCAAACAAAAATGCAAAAAAAAACCAAACAAAAAAAAAAGAAAACGGCAGCTTTCTAAGAACAAGAAAAACACGTACAAATAGAATCAAAACTGATTCAAGTCATAAAGTTAAAAAGAAAAAAGAAAACAAAAAAAAAAAGGAAAGATCAATATGATCCGAACTTTTTTTTTTTTTTTTAATATTAAAGTTTGAACTCTTCTGTTTGGCTGTGCTGAACTTTGTACATCGCCTGGGAACGATCCGATATTGCTCAGATTTGCAGCAATGTCGGCCTGCTGGGACAGCCTGCACCTCTCTGCTGCAGGACAGGAAGGCCAAAAATGACAATTCTGCAACRTTTTCCCTTTGTGGGTCACCATCTTTAGTGTTCTGGGGGCGGCAGAAAATGAGGGAGAATTTTCCAGCAGGATCCTTTCATTCCCAATAGTTTTCCCCCACCAGCCTGAATTCATTTTGGTATATTTGGAGTTGGAATTTGTTGGAGAAAGGATTTGCTTTGCTTTTCTGAAAGGGTTCTGTGGGGTGGGTTTGGGGTATTTTCAGGATCTCTCTTCCCAATACATCTCCCATTTCTGCCTTTGGTCCCTGGATCAAATCACCTTCAGAGGCAACTCCTGGGGTGAGGAATTTAGGATCAGCTCAGGCTGGGATTTAGGATCAGCTCAGGCTGGGATTTAAGACCAGCTCAGGCTGGGATTTAGGATCAGCTCAGGCTGGGATTTAGGACCAGCTCAGGCTGGGATTTAGGACCAGCTCAGGCTGGGATTTAGGTCTTGCTCAGGTTGGGATTTAGGTCCTGCTCAGGCTGGGATTTAGGACCACCTCAGGAGAAGATCCTGGCCTGTTCCACTTCCCCACCTCATCCCAGGGAAGCAGCATCAGCCCACAGCAGCATCAGGAGGAAAACGGGAGATTTTTATCCCTAAACTTCAAACCAAGTCCCCTCTAAAGCTTTGCCTGAACATTCCCTGGAGGAAAACACGTCAGCTAACCCTGCTTAAGGAACTGAAATTCAACAAGGAAACATGTCCTGAAGGAAACTGCCACTGTTCAAACACTCAAAATTCGTGAACTTAAAGTCCTGACACACACGGGAGGGAATAAATCGGGAATTTTATGCCAGAGTAACTGAGACTGTGAGATTCTCACTTGGCTTTCTTCTTCTGTGGAGGYTGGAGCAAAAGGAGGAGGGGAAAAGAGAAAAAAAGCCTGTGGGGAGGGATGAATGAATGAGTGAACAAACAAATAAATGAATGAACAAATGAATGAATGGATGAATGAATGGATGAATGGATGCAYGCAGAGCTGTGACAGTTAATACCACTCGATGAGAAAGATGGGAAAATAGATGAAAAGTCAATTAAGGCAACCAGTAAGGTTTTAAAAGCAGTGGTGTGGAAATGTCTGCAGGAAGAGCCTGAGCCCTGAAATGAAGGAGGCTGCTGGAGAAGGAGCAGAAAAGGGAGAAAAAAGCAGCACAAGGCAGAACAGGGAAAGGGAGAAACGCACGGAATCAAATCTCTGACTGAGGAATGGCCATGGAGAACAGAAAGGGCTGCATGGGTGGGTTCTTTGATTTTCCTCACAAGAACCCTACTCCTCTGGCCATTTTCCCCTGAATGGACAGCACGAAATGGCAACAGCACAGAGTTCAGCAGTGCCATTGTCAGCTGCCCTTCAGAGCTGTCCCCAAGTGCAGCTCTGTCACAGCCTCTGGTGCTTCTTTTCCTTTCACTATTTGCACTTGCCCAAGGCCGTGCAGAGCCCCAGCAGACTGTGAATACAATACATCTTTTTATTAAGTTTCACTTTCTAGAAAGGAAAAAAAAAAGGAAAGGAAAAAAAAGGTTTACAGAAAGCTGCTCTGCAGCAGAGACACACAATCCTGGCTGGAGGGCTGGGGATGGGAGGCCAAGTGGAAAAGTTTTCCAGATAAGTCTCTGTGCTGACTGGTTCTCTGGCATTCAGCAAGCCAAATAAAAAAAAAAAAAAAAAAAAAAAAAAAAAAAAAAAAAAAAAAAACAAAAAAAAAAAAAAAAAAAAAACAACCAACAAAACCAAAAAAATCAAACAGTTCTTTTCAGTAAGTAACAGTTTAAAATGGGACTTCACTTCTTAATTTTTTTTACTATGAATAAAAGCACAAGTTTGTCCTAAATACAGCACTATTAAAAAGGTGAATATGTATCTTTTTTTTTCCTCCAAAAAGAAAAAAAAAATCTAAAATGTTGATATCTTTTCTTGCAAGCAAGGAGCAAACGGAATAAAGTATTAGGCCACGCAAACACACATTGAATCCATGTGGTGAATTTGGTGGCTTTGGAAATGCAGTTATTATATCAAAGGTGCATACTTGGTTCAAACACACTGTACAGATTGGGCAAAAAAAAAAACAAACCAAACTTCTGTCRCTCTGTTTGAGACAATTGCAAAGGCATCTTCACCTGCCCAGCTCTGCCTCTGGGGAGCCTCATCACTGCAACACCAAAATCCCCAGGGAAGGGCTGGAGGATCCCACRGGATGAGCGCATCTCCTCGGACCTACTCTGGAATATTATTAACTTTTATAAATATGTACAAATCAATTACAGGCACTTTGAAATGTCTTTGGTTGGAATAAACCAACATTGCAAAGGGAAATGGATTCACAGAGTGTTAAGACCCAGGCTGGGTTCAGCAGGCAATGGTTTGGGGTCGGTCGTTCTCGGTAGAAGGAGAGGAGGGGGATYTTTATGCTTCTGACAAAGCAACCTGGGAAAAAAAACAAAAGAAAAAGAGAAAATATTTAATTAAAGGCGAATTTTTAATCCTGTAACAGTGATATGACTTATCTCTGTGCAGCTGGSAGGGCTGTCCTTGACTTTTCAAAGCAGCTCAGAAAGTCTGACTTGGGAAGGAAATCAAAGATTGGCTGAGGGGGGGTTGTACTTTGCAAAATCAACAGAATAGAAATCCCAAAACACCCAAAAAACCCCCTCATTAAAAACATTCCAAACCAGAAAATATCATTAAGATCAAAAGGTGTCACCCTGGCTTCCTATTTCTCAATAAAGATATTCATGTTTAATTCTTCAAGCAAACTGCAGGTCCCTGAGGGAGTCTTGAACAATGATTCYTTCAACAGCTTGGGTTTTAACTCAACTCTGATGAACAGAATTAGAATTAAGTCTTGTGTTTTACTCCAAGTTTTCATCTGTTATGACAAAAGATAAATCAAACTAYTCGGTGCCATCTCTTTAGTGCTTCACACCAAACAGTTCAAGCAACAGCAGAATTATGGTAGAAGTGTCCCAGCCCTGCACTTGGTGAGCTGCAATAATTCACTTCTGGAGGACAGAAATGTCATTTTTAGGGTTGTAATTGCAATTCTGAGGATCTCCAAAGCRCCCACCTGCACTGTCCACAAGGCCTCTTCGAAAGGCAATGAGATCCACATCTCCAGAGACCAGAAAAACCCGTCTGTCCCGTGCCCAAAAATGAAGTTTGCTCTGTTTTCTGAGCAGAGCTGACATTTCCTTGCCACACACTCACCTTTTCCGAGCAGAATTCTGTATTGCTTTGCCTCAGCTTGCTGGGCCTGCCTTTAATGACTGCATAGCAGAACATGGTGATCACCATCACGAACAGGAAGTAACTGGTGTGCATGAGGTGCAGGTTTATTAGAGAGCGATCATCCTGCAATGGAAAAGAAGATTAAAAACATTCCCTGCCTTGGAAATTTGATATTAGAGCAGTAATTATCAGATCGACTCAGAAATGAATTAATTGATCAATTTTATC